TGAATTTTGGTGGAAACCCCATAGTGTTCACATTGGGGTATGCGTCAAATCGCCTACCTCAATTGCCTAGGGAAATGCTGGTTGGTCACTGTTTGTTACGTTATATTGTTTCCCGGAGTGCACGGGCTGTATTTCGTAATATGGGAGAGTTAGAGCAATTTCAAGACATTTTATAAACACAGACAATGTGGGGGTCGAGAATACGTGCTTGAAGGAGGCGTTTTATAGCTGACACAGACGGATGGGGAAAAAATTCCTGCGACATTTCGGCTTGCTGTATTACTATTACGGGATCCGGGTGCTACCTGAGCAATCATTAAATGACGAATTGTGGATCCAACCAATACCGGGTGTCAGCAAGCAATGAAAGAAAGGTGTAGTGACCGCGAAAGTCATAGAAAGATTTTATGAAGTCAGTATTGAAGGGAAGATCATCAGTTGAGGCGACAACTGGAACGAGGAGGTGAGCCTGCAGCAAAACATTCGACGCCTTACGCAGAGGTTGCAACGGCATGGGCAGCAAAGACGACGCGGAGCGAAAGAGCGTACAGAGTTTTTTGCTACACCGATTGGGATGATCCCGAAAAAAGGAAGGATGTGATGAGTTTGTGCAAGCAGTAGAACCATGTGATTAATATGGCGAAACAAGCGGATAGCTTTACGTAAGCAAACAGAGCAGTGATTTGGACAGCTACACATATTTCGTCTACTCGCTGAGTGGTTCCTTGGAGCGGTTTGTTTAACTGATTCAATGAAAGTACTTCATGGATGCAGTAGCGTCAGTAATTATGGAAATGACTTCATTATTTACATAAAAAGTTCCCACATGCTTGTAATGCTGTCATTTTTGCTGAGCTGGCTCTGCCGAATAAACCGTTTGTCCCTGAAGTACAGAAATCTGTGACAATTCTCATCGGTGTAGACAGTGATTTCCTTCCTGGGGTTCGACAACTGTGCTTATCAACCAAATACCTAGATAACCGTTCTTCGCAATTATACTGATGAGATAAGCTTCGCTTACTAACCAAAAATAGACCTTGGAAATAGGACTTCATGAATGAACAAATTTTGCACTATTCTGGTGTTCCGATGTTAATGTGTTGCACACTTAATCTTTATTGCTGTTTGGCGAGGTCGTCAAAATAAGCCAAATCAGACCACAGGTCATGTGGGTCAATTTCCATGCGGAAGCCTTGGGATAATTACTCCACTTTAAAAGGATAGCAACAAAATTGAAATTTTGAAGTGCTCTTCTTTCTGTAGTATATCTTACAGTGATGTCTGATGTTATAGAATTCATCACTGTCGAAGTCAAATTATCAAGAACAAGGGACCGAAGTTAAACATTTGTTTTCAATGAATTCCTCGTCAGACCTTTACAATCATATGGGTATAGAACGATGGGAGTAACAGTAGTTTCAAGCAGTACAAATAAAATTGGATCACATGCCAACCGGGGGCATAAACCAGCAACAAACATAAACGATAAGCGCAAACTAGGGCAAAGAGGTAGGCAAATAATTGCTTCTGGCCTCCGAATCGTCCATTTTATCTGGTCAGGGTAACTAAAAAGCTTGGATCAGTTTATTTTGTGAACACAAAATCGGTTGATACAACAGAATACTGATCACCTCAGCTGTAGCGAAGGTGCGGAGGCGCAGGCCTTTCGATTGGAGGGGCAGAACCTTGTAGAGTATCCAAAGGTGCGGACTGGATCGACTTCGTGCCCACTATCAACAAGATGAGCCATAACAGAGCTAGTTATAGCCCCGGTACCGCCTGTTATGGTTCAGCTGGTTGATAGTGGGCATGAAGTCGATCCAGACCGCACCTTTGGATACTCTACAAGGTTCTGCCCCTCCAATCGAAAGGCCTGCGCCTCCGCACCTTCGCTACAGCTGAGGCGATCAGTACTCTGTTGTATCAACCGATTTTGTGTTCACAAAATAAACTGATCCAAGCTTTTTGGTTACCCTGACCAGATAAAATGGACGATTCGGAGGCCAGAAGCAATTATTTGACTACCTCTTTGCCCTAGTTTGCGCTTATCGTTTACGTTTATTGCTGGTTTATGCCCCCGGTTGGCATGTGATCCAATTTTATTTGTACTGATCGAAACTACTGTTACTCCCATCGTTCTTTACCCATATGATTGTAAAGGTCTGACGAGGAATTCATTGAAAACAAATGTTTAACTTCGGTCGCTTGTTCTTGATGATCAAATGGGAATTTTCCAGTTACTGAAGTCAAATTAGTTGGCGAAGTTTTTGGATTAAAAGCAACTGAAATTCGGTATGACCATATATGACATTCTATAAACGGATTATTGTGCACCTTTGACTGAGCTCATTATATTATTTACTTTAGCTTTCCAAAGTAGTAATCGACGTGGTGTGGTTTTAATTTGCTCAGTGTTGCCACGATTTACATACTAAAAGTCTTTACTCACGACAACGTGATGGCTCCGAAATCTGTTGTCTCGAGCAGTGAGAAACTTAAGTTTTCTGGTACGAATAGCTAAAGTGGAGGTTTATTTGTTCGGCCGGTGGCCGAAAGGATTGCATGCCTGACTTGAATTCTTAGGTCCCCGGTTCCACTCAAGTGAAGTCAAGTCAGTCAGTATATGCTTTATGTACCCAATCGGGGGCATTTTCAGCATTTACATTATAAACTGTAAATTTGCTAATGGGTTACCATCAAAAATGTAAAGTTCACAATGGGTAGCAAAGTGCGGATTCATTGACGTCGTTCGATCAAGCAACGATTCCGAAAAGCTAGACTAAAGCTTCAGGATTTGTATCCATCGAAAACGGAAAAGGTTTCATAAAAATTTTTCTTCAAAATTCATTTCAGTTGACTTATAATTTTGTCTGGATCTTGCGGATCGTGCTCTGTGTCACGCGTGTACTTTCAAAGTTGAATGAAGTAAAGCGCTTCAGTGACCTTGGAGGTTGATTGAACAAAATAGCTGTCAGCGTACTCTGCAATATTGTGATATACACAGCAGATAATGTGAAAATGATGTTTGGCGGGAAAGGCAACGGCCGATTTAAAGGCCTTGCCAAGCGTATAAACTGGAGTCTTCTCGCTATGCCCAGTTCACGCGCAACCACTGGTGGTCGCATGGCAGCGAAGCGTCGGTACAGCGTGCCGTCGTACTGCTGATGACTTGACTTGAAGTTTTCTTGTACTTTCAAAAAGAAAAAAGAAGCGGAGTCGCCTAATGCAGGTAGTAGTACAGTCCTCAGTTCGCTAAACGAAAATGATTTAGACGGAATGAAGTGGGAAAGTGTGACATCCTGTATGCCACTACTGCTGTGCACCTACTATTGACAGCCTAGAGTTTGCAATGGTGTTTCCGTATACGCTGGAACACTCTTAGCTTGATTTAGTCTAAAATACCTGGTCGATGTTTTGCATAGAAATTTGGTTAAAATACAGTCTGCTTCTCTGCTTTGTACGTTTTGCTTTTCGCCACTTCGGCTGTGGGTAATCTACTGGGCGTTAGTTAATCACTTGCTAGACTTAACAGAAAGTAAACGGACACTAGCATCGACTTTACCGTCGGTTAAAGGAAACGCGATTAAATCACTGAGTTGGCATCCCACTGACCGTGACCAAGTAGTACAGATCCAAAAATTTTCGGCTGAGATGAGACCTTTAAACTGGCCGCTGCTGTTCTATTTTCAATAGAACATCGCTTTACGTTATCTACTGTGAACACAATAATTTTGTAGGAATATTTTAATGAATTCTTAGGCGAAACGATTTCTATTTTTACGACCGCTTTTTAAAAAAAACGTGATAACGCACATTTTTTGCAATTTATTGCATCCAAACAAGTGAAACAAAGCATCAAGAAACGCTTTAGTAAACTCCAACGCATCAAACAGATAAAAATCCTGGTAATTCTCCTCAGCAATATGTGATCGTTGCTTCACGGTGTGGGACTGTTTGCTCGTGGGATTTGTCTACTATTTGTCCATTTGGTGTTTATATTTGTGCAATCGCACGCATATGGTATTGTTATTTCGTTTCATTTGCAACGGATAGTATAAAAATACTGAAAACAAACCAATCTGGGTTCATGTAGCTTATCTTGGTTAGAAGTGAATTGAGTTGACTAGACCAGGAATTTGTTTTTGGGTTGCTTCATTGCTAAACTTGTGCAAATCAGGTTACTGATCTTCCGATGGACTAAACCGCTATCTGAACTTTAGTGAGGCCTGTGTAGAAACAAATTGATCAGCTACAAAGAGACATTGGATGAAATATTCCAAATGCTCGATTAGTCGGGCCGTTACTAACTGCGCAAGCCTGTTGTAACACACAGTCCCTACCTGCTTTATGAGGGCCATCTGGACATATTGCAACGTGTGATTCAACGTGCAAGTTGATCAAATGGAAATCCACAAACCGTCTGTCTTGTTGAACCTGGATACAGCTGTGCACGTTCCAGCCTTTCCGCCACCCTATAGGAGGATGCATGCGGGTAAACCGTACCCAAAGTACAGCGGCGTTCCCATGCTCCATTTGTAAATTATTGCAACTTTCGCCTGTCTCTTACATTGATCCAGTCAGAGATAGGTTGTCTACTTGTCCAGCATGTTCGTGTACGGTCCGTTTCAGCTTGCCCACGGTTCAGTACACCGTATGGGGAAAAAAGCGAAAGTAATCCATTGCGATTGTTGTGAGCGAAGCTACAATGGAATGGGGATATGGGGAGTTTGACTTCGATCATGTGCTGATTCATAACATTCATTGGTTACAATCCGCTTAATCCCATATAAGATCGATGGCGGGTACGTTCACCATAACCGAGGATCCGTTGGACTAGAGACAGAAAATATTGTGCACGTTTGTGAACCATTTTGGTGAGCAAAAGCCACTTTAGAGAAAATACTCCTTAATCTATTTTGGGCTATTTTAAAAGCCAATTGTTTGTTAGAGTCCCATGCATTTGGGCATGTCGTAATACCCGTGTTCTTTTATTTCTGCAGCACCTGCTGTTCCCGCGCGCTTTGCCGATGAGGGGGGTAACGAGACGCAAAGAGTTCGTCGAAAGACCCCTGAGAAAGAACAGGGACAAGGCAAGAGCAGACTTGATGTAAATGATCTTTGTTATGCCCAGCGGCACGTTACGACAAATCGTAGCGATTTTGTTGATTTCAAAATGAGAGACCGTTATGCAGTTGGGAAAGCATCAATTACCGAAGAGAGAGTCCCTGTTCTAAAAAGAAGAGATGAAGTGCATACTTGGGTCCCTTTGCCTGTAGCACCCGACGTAATCGTGCGCACTGGCTACGAGTGGAAGCCGAAGCCAGCTGTGCACATACCTAAGGATGCAGCAAGCATGAAGCCCATGGAGGACACAACGTGCTATCGACAACACTTCAAACAGTATTCTCGAGAAGCGTTTCCTGAACCACTTCCTGCAAATATACGGGCCAAACAATCTGAAATTGGTGCAAAGAAGCTACTCGGTAGTCGTGCTGTGCAGGCAGAAGCTACACCAAAGACTGTATATCAAGACTCCTATGTCGGACAGCAAGAAGCAGACCGATGGGCAGATCGTGGAGTGCGTCAGAATATTTCCGCAGTGGTTCAGCACACCGGTTGTCCTTATAAAGACGACTACCTATATTGGAGTGATATCCCCACAGATCCATTTACTGAAAACCTAACACCAATTTTCCGTAGTACAGAAACTACCACCTTAAATTAGGAGGTGATAGCAGAAAAGCGTTTTTGAGAACTTTATTTACTTGAATAACTTTGGTATACGAGGGTTATTTTGAAGCAGCTTTTGTGCCATCACCTTAATGAAACGTAATATAAATTCACTGGATGGATTGAATTGGAGAAACAATTTTCCATTTAACCAAGACATATATCCGCTTTGGCTATCCTGGTCTGGTAACTCACGTACTTTTTGAGCGATTCCAATACAGGGGGTAATACGCAGGTAAATTCTTCCACATACGGTAACATATCCCTAAAATATTGAAGCTAAATGGACGAAGATTATAGTGTTTTTATAACACACCGGCCCAAGTAATGCGCTTTGCACTTACAATTTTAAAAATACCCCCAGCTGCCACGTATCAAGCTTTTGTCTAGATTAGCCAATGGCAAGACGATCATACAAGTACAACGTTGTTGAATTAGTGGCACCATGGTTACAACATATGTTTGTCGACACCTGGTTCTTCGGTTCCTTTCCACTCTGATGCCATATAGTACCACTGACTGGCTGCGATTGCAACTGCTGAAGTAAGCACTTCTACTAAGAGTTTTTTATTACCACGTCGACCTTGTGCTGTGAACATCGCTTTTACCAAAGAATAGGAGCCTCGTAACTTATACGGATACAGTTTAGAGGATTCTGTGTGACAGCTGTTCCACACACGAAAACTGACTGTAGTTTGTGTTTAGCTTCACATAGATCCCGATCTGAAGCGTAACGAGATAAGAGTTTCTAGCTTTCCTCAATAACACGTAGCATCAACACAAGTCAGCACTACATGTCGGAACGAATTTTATCCAAGGTATTAAGCCTTAATATATTTGCATGTCCATGTAAGTTCAGCAGCCTTCATTTTGCCAACATAAATGAACAGCTGTGCAAATTCAGTGTACAGCGATGAATTCCACCTCATTCTTATGTTATTAGAGCCTAGTTCGGTGGATTAGAAAAGCTCAGGGGTCCGTCGTTCTAGGTTACACTACAAAGGGTGCACGTGCCGAAAAGTTTGAGAACACCTGCTCAATAGTGACACACGGCGTCCTGTTGGCCGACGGCGTCTGACCAATGAGGACGCTACTCTACGGTGCGCGTGTGCACCTAAGCCAAAATTTGAAACGCACCAACTTGAAAATGCTTATGAACCAATTTGAAAATGCTTATGAACCAAATTGAAAATACTTAAGAACCAATTTGTTTCCTCTATTAACTAACTTGACTCGGAAATGGTAAAGTACCTTTTTGCACAATGAGCCACAACTTAGAGGTGTTCTGTGTGATCTGACCGCTACGTGGATATTTATGCAGCCTAATTAGCATATGAATGGCATAAGCCCCATAATGTTGTGTAGCAGTTACCGAAGCGTCATTAGCAAACCAATAAATTGAAGTCGTTGGGGTTTGTAGTATGTACCCATTTGTACGAAACAGTTTTACACAAATGCGAGTCGCAACACCGTCATGTGGTAGGGAAGAGAGTCCACTGTGGCTATCCACACACGGCCTTGCACAAGATGTTGTTTTTGTTAGTCAATGAGGGATTTACTCCAGCACTTGGGGGCACGTGTACTCCACACTTTAACACACAGTAGAATTTTTCATCAATAAGACGAGGAGAATGCAGGTACAAAGTAATGGAAAAACAGTACCCTGCTACTACGGTTTAGCAGTTATATTAGATAAGTGGGACGTCTTTCACAACGTCTACACATGTAAGTTAACTGTTATCCGGCTGTCAAACTTCAGAGGTTTACGGATAAGCGCCTTGGAACCAATAGTAACAAGTTCGATGCTATTTCTTTCAAGCAACCACGGTAGCTGGATTACGAAAGATCATTTGAACCAAATGTCAGTTGCAAGTGACGAGGAGTGAGCTTCAAAGACCTGGGATATAAGTAAACCTTGTTAATCCCCTTCAGAGATGTCACTATCTGACCCCATGAGGTTACTTCTATGGACACTGGCTATAGTAATAGCTAAAAGAGTGCGCTATATGTACAACACCCGGTTCCACTCGCAAATGTTGGGGATACATTCGTTGCCGCTTTGCACATGATCTGGATGTCTCTGTCCGCATTGAACCACACGATGATGTACTGCGAAACATTTTCTCTAAGCTATACCATTTCGCTGTTGAGACTGAAACTGTTATTTTCATTAAAAGTCTCAACGCAGTAGTCAAACACTCCAAAAAAGATGGCTTTAAAATTGCTTTACAATAGTTTCGCAATTTACTACAAGGGTGTGCGGTGCGTAAATGCACAAGAAGTTAATAACACATTTTCTCCGCATTCCGCCGAACACGCTTATCTCTTTACCAGCTGCCCTAACCTATGGTGAAAATTGGGACTTTGCGTCATCTCGTTACCAGCAATGCACCGTCTACAGAAACCGGGCTGATGGATAGGGCATCACATAGCGGTGAGAAAACAGCGAATCGATAAATCTGAGAGACACCGTCGATTTCCCCAATGCAGACGCTTACTCTATACAACCACCAAATCCGAAGTCAGAGAAAAATTCTTTCCTTCTTTCAGGGAAAGTTGATGCACCGGCTTTTAAAAACTGCATAGTTCACGCTGAATATCTTCTAGACGTGTACCGCTAAGTCACACATTACTGATGATTACCCATTCCCCAGACCTCGATGATTTTCCTGGCTCAGTCGAATCCCGAGTTCCCATTTCTAATCCCGAATCGATGGTCAAAAAGCTCACTCCGACACTGCGATCAAAGGTAAGTTCAATTTGCAAATAACTCATTTACTATTAACTGAAAGATTTCTAAAACAAATTGGCGTCAAATAACCAACCAGTACACTTCAATTATGTTACATCACTTTTGGTACGTAAACCGAAGCACATAAATTGCGTAAAATTACGGCAAGCTTTCACACAGTCCGCTTCACCGCTTGAAGCAAGTATAAGTGCTTGCCATACCAACCTTTGGATATGGTCCATTCGGAACATCACATGTTGTAATATTCTTCATAAGCTTTTGCTTCAAACTAAACCCCTGATTATTCACTAACCATTTTCACAAACGCTGTCAAGAAGTGAGGAATAAAGGATTCGGTTGGCAGCTTCAGTGACCCAGGATGCGAGTCGCAATGCTATATCCTCCATCTAACAAGTACAAACGTTTTGTGAAGTGCAAGTTCCATGCGGGTAATAACCAATTTGTATGAGCGTCGGACGTGGTCCTATTGACGGAGTACACGATCCTCAACATATTATGATATAGTCAGTGTTTGGTTTGCTTGAACCACGCTTTGTGAATATTTAGCTGTATCACTCATTATTTTCCGTAGTGACAACTGGAAGGAGCATTATAGAAGAATATCAGCAAAAAAATGCATAGGCGAACATGGGAAGGCACAAAGGGGGCACTCAAAGTAATCAGGGGAATTACTATTTCGGAATCTACCATGAACCGATTGCGAGTTCATGATTTGGGAAGGTTTGGGATATATATTGTGATTTTGTGCATTTGATTTTGGCCACGTTTCGGTCTCGACGCAAGAGTTGCTTTGGACAGGAATCAATATCTCAAGAGAGACACGAATCGGCTGATAATAACCTTGCAGATCAGTAGGCCATTAACAATGTCTTTGATACAGTGAACAGCAAAACACTGTGGCAACTGTTGAGTATACATTGCTACCTTGATAACTATGGTTGTTCAAGTGAATACTTTCACGTTAGTTTGGCGCGCTAGAGTGCAGATGGGTGGACAAATTTCGGATGAGCTTAACTGTGCTGCGAGACAAGACTACGTTTTGGTTCTTACTTTGTCCCATATCTATCCACTATCTATCCAAATTCCATTGGTCTTGTGGATTGGGTACACGTGATTCCGGTCTTCGCTTCGAACATAGCATAAGTGGTGGGTTGCTGAATATCCATCGTTTCGGAGCGAGAATCGGAATGTGGAGTGCAGCCATGGGTATGTTACTTGCAGACTACTGCGGGTTACTTGCAATAAGTGCAGAATATTTGCAACACATAACGAGGCGGTATTCGCTATTTAGCTTGCGGCCGCATAGGTTTTGCACACTATATCATTGCAGATTTCCTTCTCTTTATCTGTCGACAACCCATCCATCTTACACCCATTCGGATCGTATTAATTTGTCCTATCCACTAAGCCATCTTCTACGGAACTGCCTCCTACATGTCATGGTTCCTACAGTTGTAGCTATTTTACAGTATTCGTTCGAAATTCCAAGCGTACAACCTCGTTGCATTTGGGTTAGTTTACCAAATGCGTTACTGTGTTCAAAGAAGCGATCGTCTATCCGGTCAACAAGCATGGTTTTGCTCTTTCACGATAATTTTCGGGGTAGCAACGAGACAGTCTGTGACCAGTTGTTTACCCATCCTTAGCTACTAAATTGTACACAACCAAGCTCGGCTCCTCTCCCTCGCCCGTAACCACACGCGCCGATTAGTTAGGCAACCACTCAGGTTCTGTAGTCGCCAATGCTACTGTGGGACAAAGTTGTGACCGCTATTGCAATTACCTCATTGCTGAAGCCTGTATGTGACCAGAAAAGTGCGGGCAGCATCACCATTACGCAATACTCTGTGGGCTCCTCAGAGAAATGTGGCAAAGTCTTTAATATGGCATAAGCTGTTTAACTTGCATTGGACCATTCTCTCCCAAATGTGAAGAAAAGTCTACTCGGCATGTGAAACAATGCAACAAAGTGCCCGACACATTTTGGCTTTCTCCATTTCAAGTTGTGCCAGCTGTCAGCTTTTACATGTGTTAATGAGGAAGTGAGATATGTGGACTTCGATAATCGCGTACTTAGTGAAAACAAGGGTCGCACTCTAGAGAAGAAATATGGTCGAACTCGTAGCTTGACATGCCAATACAAGTTCCGTTTCTAGTCCGAAGAAGAGTGTGCGAAGCTGCAGCCACACTGCAACGTCTTTGGCCTCAACTTCGCTGGCCAGTATGCGGAGAGGCATCGACCAAGCCTGCTCTCACTTATCTCAGCGGTGCAGCCCACATCACGTGGGCAGGGATGATGGCAGCTCCGAGCCAGAATTCATCCATCATGGCTAAAAGCCGGACCTTGTACACATTGATTGTATCAATGCATAAGCCAGCGCGAGCTCCCCTGACTCGGGTCGCA